CTATGTACATTAATGCACTTCTGGGGTACAGTGTGGGGTTTTCACACACAATCCGAAACACTTCCATCAAACTGGTGAAGTTTCCTTTTTTTATGTTTAAATCTGGTATCCAGTCTGAGCAAGGTGGCTCACACTTACAATCCTAGCAGTCTGGGAGGCCAAGGTGGGAAGATTGCCTGAGCAAGAGTGAGACCCCATCTCTAAAAATAGCCTGGCATTGTTGTGGGCACCTGTACTCCCAGTTACTTAGGAGGCTGAGCCAAGAGGATCACTTGAGCCCGAGAGTTTGAGGTTGCTGTGAGCTATGATGCCATGGCACTTTACCAAGGGCAGCAAAGTGAGACTCTGTCTCAAAAAAAATCTAGTATCCAAGGAAAGGATTTGTCTCATACCCATAGCTAATGTCCTCAAAAGCTAACCTGTTGACCCACCCCTCTCATGAGATCTTAAACTCTACCCCCAATTTGTCATGCCGCCTTTGTCTCATCCTCTGTTCCCATATGTAGTTGGTTGTATGTATAGACTCTGTTTTCCCTTATTGATCTATTCTCTGCTACCAGGCTACTTTAATAATGTTTTATAATGTATTTTCATATTCATTTCTCCCCAGTTTTATCCTGGCTCTTCATCCAAGTTTATTTACATGTGAGACTTCATTGTTAGTGTCCTCCAAAAAAGTTACATTGGATTTTGGGATTAATCATACTTAACATCTTATGCTGAGAGTTTCTGCCCAGGATATGTCTTTAATATCAGTTTTAGAAACACCCTCACTCCTAACTGACAAATTCTTCTTGTCTTTTGGTGGAGAAAAATGCTTATGTACCCTAAGTTTCTCACTGCCACGTTGAGGCTCACAGGTGTGGAATGTTATGATAGGAATTTTCATAGATATAAAAATTCAGGTAGGGAATGCTTACAAGAAACAAAATTTCACATGTGATCATTCTTTTAAGATTAGCCAAAAATTACCCTTTATTTTTTAAAAACACATTTCCCAGCTATAAAGAGATAGTACATAGACGAATCAAGTTTTTAAATTTTTCATACACAGTATTTCACTGGCACATTTGAGGCGCTTGATAAAGATCACGTCTTTTTGTCATTCACTGCTCTGGATATGTTTGTGGGTGGATAAACACAAAAAGGGGAGGTGTGCTTGCCAAAGGCAGACTGGTCCTTGACCTTGAGAAGCTGACAGAGAAATATGCAGTTTCAGTATAAAGCAGTCAAGCTGTAATAGGGATGGTTATAAACCAAGTAGAGGAAGGAATATCTTCCTGGGGACTTCAGGGAAGCCATCCAGAGAAGAAAGTTAATGATTTCAGCTGAGACTTGCAGGCATTTGCAGAAGAAAGGGCATCGTAGGCAGAAGGAATGGCATTTGGAAAGACATAGGAACATTGGTTAGTCAACAATCTACAGGCAGTTCAGAACTACCACAAATCAGGAAAGCAGGAAGGAAAACTGGCTAAATGAACCAGGGTCATGACCCAGGCCTTGTGGGTCATGCTTATGTCTTTAGAATTTGTCTGATAGACCAGAGAGCTGGGGACAGCATCAAAAGTATCAGTGGGGGTGTTTGTGAGATGGATAACAAAGGATTGTATGAAGGTCACCTCTTTCTGCAAGTTGTTCTTCCCCAAGGAATATAATTAAGGAGAAAGTCTTATAAGTCTGGTATGAAAACTTAGAGAAGCCCCACATGTGTT